AACCCTGCCCAAAAAAAAAAAAAAAAAAAAAAAAGAAATACTCACTGTAATGGCTTCTCGCCCGTGTGAATCATCCGGTGTACTGCCAGATTGTGGGAACTCTTGAAGGCCCGAGCACAATATTCACAGATGTAATCTCTTTGATCTAAGAGGAAAAATAAGGTGATCAATGTTCCATTAAGACACCCTCTAAGTATTTCTGTAGTTTACAAGTGAGCGAGTGATGTAGCAGGCCACTTTACTAGAAACACAATGCTGTTCACAATGAGTAAATATTCTGAGTAAACGATAACAAATACTATTTTATCTTTAGGTCACACATTCAATAGCATAAAGAATGCCTTAAAAATCATAAACTGCTGGGGGCAGTAGTGCAATGCCATTAATCCCAACACTAGGGAGTAAAAAGCAGGTGAATCTCTTAGCATATATAGTCCAGCCTGGTCTACATAGACAATTCCAGGCCAGCCAGTGAGACCTTCCTCAAAAACAAACACACAAAAAAACCCAGCCCCCAAAAATCCCACCCCCCAAAAAACCATAACCAACCAACCAACCAACCAACCAACCAACCAACCACTCAACCAAGAGGCCAAAATCTAAAATCTAGGCACAAATAATAGGCAAACTGGAACCCTCATCCCAATGTTACCAATACTCTAGATACTGGGTAAATTGGTCAGAAAGGCAAGTGCATTTTTCATGGGTCTTATTCTATAAAGTGTCTTTTTCACAGATCATAGAAGATACTCATATAAAAACAATTTTGTGTGTGAAAAAAAAAATATCTCCAACAACAAAATATGGCTTTCTGCTGAAATAAGCTGATCCTCATCTGAAACAGTAGTAATACCATTTCAAGTTAAAATGTTATCAAGAAAGTATTTTGAACTTTTCTCATTCAAATCTAAATACACAGTATTACCATTTCTTTACCTTCTTTGCCTCCCTACATCTTCTGTACCACTGGAGTATTTCCTCATCCCTTCATGACACCCCCATATCTCAAAAAATTTTTAAATGAAATCAGTGTGGCATGGAATCAATGAGGTAACGGAGCATTTGCTATTCCTGCTAGTTGGTTAGTGAGCTAATGGACAAACAGGTACTCAATATAGATTTGCTAAATTTATTAGCCACTACAATTTTCTATTTCATTTAAAAGCACTAGATATAACTACAATAAAACATAAATATAAATTAAATGGTCAACAATATACAACCTAATCCAACATTCTTCCCAAACAGCTTTAAAACCAAGTCAGATATGGTTAGTCTCTCATTCAGAAGGCTCACCTTGAGTTTGAGACCACTTTTGGGGGCGGGGGTAGAGAGTGAGACTTTGTCTTAATAAAACAAAAAAAGACAAGGGGCTACAGAGATGGCTTAGCTGTCAAGAACACTGGCTGCTCCAGCAGAGAACCTGGGTTTGGCTCCCAGCATCCAATGGCAGCTAACAATCACCTGTTAACTCCAGTTCCAAGGGATCAGACACCCTCTTCTGACCTTCATGGGCATTACATGACATGGATGCACTTACATACATGCAGACAAAACAATCATACAGATAAAAATAAAAGTAATAAAAACAAAACAAAAGAAACTGAACAAAAAACCAGATCACCTGGAGATCTTATGAATGAACATGCGAATTCATGATATCTGAGGCAGGGCCTGAAACTCTTAATGGCTAATAAAAACCCAAGTAATGATGATGTTGGTTGGTCTGTGCTCCATACTGTACAAGGTTGAAAATACACAGTTCTAACACAGGATAAGTCAGCATCACCCAGGTATTGTCTAGTGGTCTTGCTCTACTGCAGCATAGCGAATATGTGCGGGGCATCCACTTGCTAAGGAAGCTATGTATTTCACATGTGCTAATTTGCAAAAGGAAAGATTACATGATGAAAACATGCCAATTAAATATAAATATCTGGACCAGAACTAAAGTTTCTCATAGTAGATTTGTGATGTTTGGCTAAAATAAGTCTAAGCTGGCTGTCAAAATGACTTTCAAAAACAAAAACAACCTGGAGAACAGAAAAATTACAGCATGTATTCAGAAAGGGCACGAAACAGCCTTCTCACTTCTCACTTCAAATACAACTTGAAGCAAGGATTGTACACTTTGGAGAAATTACAATCCAAGTTCATATGCCTGTGTTTTGAAAATGTCTATGCTGCAAGCGCTATAAAATATATAGCTATGTTTATGTTATCGCAATTCATCTTTATTACTGCAAGCCTGTGTTGTTGGTATCTTCAACTTAATAGTTAAGGAAAAGTAACAGTAACTTTTCTAACTGACACATGCAGCAAATAGATGGAGGAGTATGTATGTCATCATCTAGGGAAAAGTACAGGTTTCTGCAAGTGGAATTCCTAGTCTAAACATTCAAGGCTAAGAGAACATATGAAATTATCAAGTGCGAGACATACCCAATTAGTACTATGACCAGTAATAGTCAACTCAATTTGTCCTTTAAGCTCAACTTCACTGAGATTCCAGTGGCTATGAATCAATGAAATTCAAGTCTCTTCCATAATATACACTGCATTCAATTTCTCTTTTGGACTTAACAGCTCCTACAGGGGTTATTATTAATTTCAACAACTAGCTTTTATGAATTCCACAAGTAGAAATGTCTCAAGAACTGTTAATAAGTTAAACTTATTACAAGCAAGCCTTCTTTATTTTGGGGGTTTTCTCTCCAATGTTTCTCATTTTTAGTTCACAACAGCTACTATAAAGTTTCCATTGGATGTCTTTCTAGATTGTTCAATTGTTCAATTTACTAAAAAGGTAGGATTTCTTGATGAACTTGAAGCTTATTGATTTCAGCTAGTCTAGTAGCCAGCTTGCCTTGGGAACATTGTATCTATCTCCCAAATGCTGGGATACAGGTGGCTGCCATGCCTGCCTGGTTTTTATTAGGTCTTCTAAACTCTGGTTCTCATGGTTGCACAGCAAGTACTTTATTCAGTCCACAAAGTTGTTAGAACATTTGACGATTAATCAATGTCAATCCCAGAACTTGGGAGGCTGCTGCACCAAATTTTCCTGAGAGACCCGCATGTGTCCTTTGGGATCCCAGGGCTGACAATACTGACAGGATACCTTCTATTTGGGTTTTGCATAGTTTATGATATCTGTGAAGGGCTGACTTACAAAGGCATGAACTCTCGTAGGCTTTCTCTTTCCCATATTGGAGACACATGCCATCCCGCCCACAGGTTCTGTGCTCCACTCTAAAATAGCAACTATCCCTCCCCCTTGGCCCAGTGTGCTCAGTGTTTCTCGGTGTTGGTCTCTAGACCCTCTCCTCTGAGTATTTGGGAGTTCAGTTCTAGTTGCCTGGAGGACATGCCTACCCAGTAGAGGCTAAGGCAGGATTGCTCTGAATCTGAGGTTAGCCTGGTCTCCACAGTGGGTTCCAGGTTAGCCAGAGCTTCATAGCAAGAGCCTGTTTCCATTTTTTTGTGAGACAGGGTCTAACTAGGTAGTCCAGTCTGGAACTTACTCTCCTGCCTTAGCTTCCCCAGGGCTGAGATTACTGATGTGTGCTACCAAGTCCAACACAAAAATGGCAAAAATCTGTATTTTATTAAACTTTGTTTTCATAACTTTCTCCTACACTTGCTGAAAAGACCCTTTCAAGATTTATACTAGAAAATACTGCTTTACAACCAGTCTGTACACTGGAAGTACAATGCATTTGGCTACTTGATAAAGACCTCACTTAAAACTACCTGTATGATGCTTGGCATGTCGCAGAAGTTGCTTCTGGAGCCTGAAGAGTCGTCCACAGGAGGGGTGGGGACACACATACTTCTTTTTCAGCAAATGCTGGTATTTAATGTGGTGCTAAGAGGCAAAAGGAAAGTGAAAGGGGAATAAATTATTGTGACTCAAAGTTTTTCTCTTTGCTAACTCCAAAATCCTCAAGGAATCAGTACAAGTAAAACTGTTAAGAACAGAGGCTTATAATATTATATACAATATACACATATATAATACTATATACATAGTAATTTTTTATATAAATATGACATAGATCTGGGTTCCAGTCTATTCTTCTGTGCCTTAGTGCAATGTTATAATCACCTCTTATAGCAGGAGTATTTACACCACTTTTGAAAATACTATAACATTCTAACACTCTAAGAAAAGTACTGCACTTAGGCTCAGTTCCTTTCAGTCTGTTTTTAAAAATAGAATATGCTGAGGCTTAAATGTATCCCCTAGGGTTCCTGTGTTGGAAACCTGGTCTTCAATGCAATACTGGGAAGTGTTTTAGTGTTTGGTCCCCATGTGTGGCTTAAAGCTGTTAACACAGGGACACAATTGTTATAAGAGTGAACTCGGGTCCCTGTTGTCCTCTCGTGCTGCCTCTTGTCCTTTGCTTTGTGAGGAAGAAGATCCCTTACCAGCTGCTGGTCCACTTTCCGTTCTTCATACATTACTACTTCTAAGTGTTTTGTTACAGCAGCACAAGTGGACTAGAAGTGACTAGTGTAATTTTATATTTAATTTTCTTCTTTTTTGAGATGGGGCCCCAGCAGGCCTGGAACTCACTTTGTAGACCAGATTGGCTTCAAACTTAAGAGATCCTCCTGCCTCTAATTCCCAAGTGCTGGGAGTAAAGATGTGTGTTGCTACATTTGGTTCCTTTCTTTATGCTTTCTATCAGTGTTTACAAAGTTCACTCAAGCCAGTGTCTTATGAGGTACAAGGACAAGTAATAGAACACAACATGAGTGGCTGTCTATGTAATAATTTTATTGACCTGCAAATAGCGTGGGTGGGCAAGAACAGTTCCACATCCTTCCATCTCACAACGGACATACTGGATCGGAGGTTTTTTCCTATTAACAAAATGTTAGAAAAAAGTTAGCAAATGGTGGTATGATATACTGTGACAAAAAGCTATTTTATGACATAAATTAAAACATAAATTTCACAAAAAACTGCATTGAAATAATCAAACTGCCAAATATTTGACAGGGTTTTAAAATGGCACAAGTAAGTAGTAATCTCCAAAAAACACAAAAAGGAAGTACTAAAATTTTTAGAAAATTCAACATCCTGCAATGAAAATAAAGATACATTATCTGTGTATAACGGACATTAGTGGAAGTATTTTTATGACATTTTAAATAAGCCCCGTCTGCACTATGAAAGCTGAAAGGATCAAACGCTCAGCACTAGATATAAGGCACAAAAAAGAGCTGCAGAATTCCTCACCTCCTTTTGGGTAACCGTGGACTTTTGTCATCTTTTCGCCTTCTCCCTCTCCTATAATTTAAAAAAGAAAAATTGGGAAAGAGTAGCCAATAGCCCCATAAAAATAAATAAATAAAGAAGAAGAAAGAGTACATGAAATTATCAGAAAAAAGTGATGGGGAGATATGGGAGGAGTTGGAGGGGAGGGAGTGGGCATGGATTTGATCAAAACACCTTACATGCATGTATGAAATTCTCAGTAAATTATTAAAAAAAGAAAAATTGACCAAATATTTCAGGTTACAGAGGGGAAAGATGGCTGCACGAATAGTCAAGGCCAAGGAACAGGTGGCAGACACAGAGAATAACATACCATACAAAAGCCAGACAAATGTGGCTAATCAAGGAAGATTTTACTCTTAAGTAATTTCACTTTCAAATTATTTTGCATCACAGATTAAATATGTATCTTCCATACACTATGCATTACTACAGGAGTCTTAAAAAAATTCAAGGTTACTACCTGAAGAGCTGTTATAGTGAAAAGTTTATCATTTAAATGTAATCAGTTTAAAAAGCAATCAATTGAGTCTATTATCCTAAGAATGTCTTATAACCCTAAAATCACAAACTACATTTATTTTCCTTGCAATAGAACCGAAAAGTCAAAGCAGTCTTATTTCTGAAATAACAAGTGGCTGTCCGGTAGGAAGTTTCACCAATCCAAGAGTTCTACACCATTTGATGTGATCATTCTTTTGCGGACCCACATTTGAGATTTTTCTTGTTTTCTCTACTTCCTCTGTACCCCACAGATATTGTCTTGGTTGCTAATTTGGACTTTTCAAGCTTTTGAGAACAATCTCTCCAATGAAACTGTAAACTGCTTAATGCCAGAATTTAAGTCAAACACACACACACACGCACATACACACACATTGTACATGTCAACATCCCTAATCTCCCTCTGTCTACTAGAGGCTTTAAATGTACATTTCTATTTTTAGTAGAAACGTCCTACTCACTTCCTAGGTGGTTCCTCATCCTCCCTAATTTCATTCTCTTCTTCTTTCACCTCTACTTCTACTTCCACTTTAATTTCCTTTTTTTCTTTCTCTTCTTTTACTTTCCCTGATTTTCTCCGTGGCTTTGGGTTTTCCCTGAAAATAGAAAAGCATTTCAACAGAAAACCATTTCAACACCAGTATTCTAACAAAGACTTTTAAAGGCAGATTATGACACCAGGTTTAAGCTTGGAATTTATTATCAACTTGCTATTCTAAAACTCATTCTCAGCTCACACACTACAATTTTTCATCAACTGTTCCTCACACCCATAGTAATGATGCACTCACGTGATTATGGATAAGCCAACAAGCTAAAAATCCATTTTCACTATAGTTGCAGGACAAATAAGACACCAAGTAAAACAGATTCCCAGAAAACCTGGCTAAAACACGCACACATTAATTAATTTGGAGTAAGTCAGGGAGGACTACATGAGAGAGAGATAAAAAGCTAGACTTGCAAAACAAATTCCTAATCACTTATTTAAAATTATTTGTATATTTATTTATTTAATCTGGCAACAAGACAAAAGCATTCAGAAGCGTTTTTCTACCATTTTTCATTGGCATAAAATAAGATTTGAAACATGCCTTTCTAAGTGGGGCTTGTAGGTCTCATCTCTTGGGTCATCTTTGAATGGTATTTCCTCTTCACTGATTAACATTTCTTCCTCCTCCTCTTCCTCATCACTACTAAAAACGAGCAAACAGAAATGACAAATTCTGGTTCCAAGGATTGTGCCTGATAGGATTGAGGTGGGGTATATCTAGAAGTAGCCTAAAATTCAAATTAAGTTATCTAAAATTTCTACCCTCATGATCTAACTGGACTAATATCTAATTGCTTTATTTAAGTAATAATTAGAACACAAACCACACAAACCCTAGATACAGTCTATAACTTTGTAAGGATAAAAGATAATGCTCAGTGGCCCTAAAACATATACTTCCATTTCACATTGGTACCCAACACAGAATAAACTCAACCATAGAAGGTACTCAAGACATGCTTTGGAATTAGGTAACTAAAAGTTGTATGTTTTAAGCTCCATTCAAGATCAAATGTGGAATATAAATTTAATACTTTAAAAATTCACTAATAGCTCAAAATCCTACCAAATTAAAAAAAAAAAAAAAGTTTGAATCATTTAATGTGATTGAATACTCCAAAGTTTAAGTATGAAATACAAAAAGTTTTTACCTAATGCCACCGGGAGATTGATGTTCTGGAACTTCTAGAAAAATAAAGCAAAACAACTTGAGACACACATCACACACACACACACACACGAAAAATTACTGTATGAAATAATTAGAAAAAACAGAGACTATCTGCAATTTGTCCAAAAGGAACCCCAGCTCTACTACCACTGATCCCTGATAGTTAAGACATTTAAATAAATGTTCACTATTACATTTCAAATAAAAAAAAAGAAACTATTAGGTATTGAAGTACATACTGTACTCCCACTGTACCATAATCAAGCTGATCTGTAATTGGTTCTGACTTGCAGATGAGTTGTAACGAACCAGTCTTGGATCGAGAACTTCGAGTATTCTCAGAGTCTCGAAGGCGAGAGACAGATGTCCTGCTGCTACTGCGCCAGCCCCGGCTGGGTTTGGTTGCAGCAATGGAAACTTCCTGAGAGAGAAGAGAATCTTCTTCTTTCTCTTCCTTGGGATCTAGATGAAAACACATCATTCTTTTCAAGCTTACAGTTAACCAATGGCAATCCCTATACATCTACTAGTTGCAAATATGATCACTGCAAAGAAAATTTGTGTTCTAAAAGAAAAAGTTTCATTGAGATAATAAAAACAAGGTGAAAAGACACTCAGATAAAAAGGATCCTTACACGGATATGGAAGCCAGCATGCCTATAAACTCATTACTCAGGTTAAGACAGAAGGATTCAAGAATTTCAGGCCAGTAAAATTGTTTCAAAAAACCAAAGGCAGCTGCCTACCAGAACCAAGCAGTAAGCCCCTTTTGCTGAAGTTGTGACACTTTGGTCACAGACACAGAGAAATAAAGCTGGAACTGAGCAGGACGCTTCCTCTCTGTTGGCTAACCTTCCTAGTGCTGAAAGGTACGATACACGTTGTTGGGACAGCAAAGTCATCAACAGTATCTCGTAACTGTGGACTCTGCATGCTACAACATGGATCTCCCAGGTAAGATGTGTCTACTTCTGTACTAGTGACAGGACTGTTACGGGGTAACCAACTGCTTTCTGATTGAATTTGAGACCTTCTCCATAAGGGGTAATTTACATCTGGTACTGAAAGCCTGTTCAAAAGTCAGGTGGGGACCAGGTATGGTGGTACACATCTTTAGCCCAGCACCTGGGAGGCAGAGGCAGGGTGTGAGATAGAGGCCAGCCTGGTCTACATGGCAAGTTCCAGGCCAGCTGGAGCTACAGGTAAACCTTGTCTTAAAAAAAAAAAAAAAAGGATAAGGATGCCAGCTGGAATGGGGAGGTCATTGGCTTTAGGAGGGAACCTATTGTTGTTTTGCTAACTGGACATAGTATCATACTGCCTTCTAAATATTTATGTTCATATCCACAGATTAATGCTCACACAGCCTTATTCAGACAAGCTTCTTTATAAAGGGGGTAGTAGGTAAATGGAGAGATGCTTAACAAGTCAAAGTGCTGAGAATAAGTGACCACTGAGTCCTCAGCCCTGGACATCTGAGTCACCCCCTCCAACACTGCAGAAGATGGGATTAGAAAGACTATAAAAGCCAGAGGATGGGGAGAAGTGTGATAAAATGCTATCTCTTGGGCATGACTCATGAAATTATAGTAGCTATGGTTACCTATCTAAGACTGGGCCCTTCAATATGCCACCATGGATGGAGGAGGAGCTTGCAAGGCCACACCCCTCCTTTGTGCGGAAAGTTGCCCTTGCTTAAGTAAGTAACCTCCCGCCCATGGAAGCAACCCTAAGTAAATGCAGCAGCACACACCCACTCTCAAGAAAGACATGAAAGTAGGGCACTTGGATAAGAGAGGGTACAGCAGAAGGGGAAGGATAAAAGAAGATAATGGGGGTGTTCAAATACATTCCAAGCACACATGGAATCATCAAAAAATCAATAAAAACAAACAGGGTAGAGGATGTAGCTCAGTGGCAGAATCCTTGTGTGTCATGTGCACTGCCCTAGGGTCAACCTTGAGCACTGCAAACATAACAAAACAAATACTAAAATAACACTTAAGAAGTATGCAAAATATCTGATTAATGGAATCCTAACCAATTAGCCCTAAGTTAAATTAAAATGTGGTCCCAGAAAGATAACCAGAACCTGAGGTACCAAAAATAAAGAACTGTAGGTATAATTGTTTCTACAATTAAACAATGCTACTAAAAATTACTAGGAAAGGGATTTCCTATCAGGAATGCCTTTCTTTTGTTCTAATTAAATGTTAACTTGAATTTGAATTAATCTATAGGCAAGCATGGCAAGGCTACTTCCAGTGTTCTTTCTCTGTCCTTGAGACAGTGTACAGAGAGAGGTATGCAGTCTGTTATCCTACATTTTCTCACACCGTAAGGGTAAGGGTGAATGAAACGAAGTGGGTTCTCCTCTCCTATGCAGTAATGAGAACTCTGGCACCACCTTAAGCATCTAAAGTATACACAAGCTACTAAATGAAGGCAATTTATAGCAGAAGTAAACCAACCCAGAGAGTAGAGTACCCTTCTAGCAATCTCACACTGTGAAGAACCTTCCTGGGAATAACATCTAACATCCAGTACCTGGGAAAGCAGAGACAGGTTGATCTCTCTGAGTCCAAGGCCAGCCTAGGGTCTACATAGTCAATTCCAGGCCAGCCAGGGCCACAACAGTCAGACCATGTCTCAAAAATAAACAAACAAACAAACAAAAAACACCCAACAAAAAAACTCCCAAACCCCAAACACGATAGAAGTGTGTTTTAAGAATTAAAAAAAAAAAAATCACTGGATGATATACCTAACTATATAACCATTAAAAAGAAAATGGTACCTCAGTGAAAATAAACATATAAACAACAAAAAGCTCAACTCACTTATAATGACTTAAACCTTACAGTGTAATATCATTTTGATAATTATCCAACTACCTGACAACACAGTCCATTACAGCAAGGTTGCAGGAAAACATGCAATCCAATACACAGACGCTGGATATAAGTATAGCAAATTACTTTAAATGTAAGGCCTAAGAACACTCTGTAGCTCATGCTTTGTGCTCTGGTCCCATTGGGCAGGAGCCTACCCTTGGTTCTCCCAGTGAATCTCCTATTCAATGCCTCTACATTTGGGTCCAACCCAAAGAACCAATCTTTCATTTCATTTTGGTGTGTCCTTTCTAGCATAGATGGTATTTCCACTGGTACCAAATTTCCCAAATCCTTGTTACTCTCCTGTCATTCACGGGGGCCTAAGCTATCAAAAACGATGGCCCTCCACAGAGCTTAGATTCCAGGAACTGAGGAGATGGTTGACTCGATTCACTAGGCAGTCTCTAGCAAACTGCCGTCCCACCACACTCTGCCACAGGAATACACTACCTGAGCAGGTTGAAAACTTTTCAAATTATGAAATTCTGGTTACTTTGGCTAAGCAACCCATTTACTTACTTCTTTCCTGCCATATTTTTGTATAAGCAAGAAGTAAAATCAGGTTTTGCCATTTACACACTGCTTGACAATCTAAGCTAAACATACATACGCATTCCTTCTTACTGTACTTTCCATTCAATGATAGACCACTAGCCAAGTTGCCTACAGCTTCATAACAAAGACGACTTGTTCCCACTATCTGATATACAGTTTCCTTCCAAGGTCTCCCCAGATTGTTTTTAATGTCAGCCATCTCTTCAAAACAATCTACATGCTTGAGAAAGTGCTTTTCACCTTCCCTTTTCTGCCCTGCTACTCACCGCATACACGAGAAAGAAAAGCACATCTTTTAAAAAGTACTCTCAGCCACTGCCCACTACGCAGTCTCAAAACCACAGTATTGTGTCACATCCCATTTCCAGTATGTTAGCTTCCTAAAGCTGTCACAATGAAGTATCACAAAGATCTAAAAAAATCCTATTTCTAAATAATCTTAAATTGTATTTCTAAATAATGTTACATTGACAGGTATCCACAGTAAGACTTCAACATCTTTTAGGGGATACAATTCAATCCATAAAGATGCTCTACTAATGTTGGACAAAATAAATTTCTATTACAAGCTGTCACAAGACACAAAAATACAGTAGGAAGAGGATCAATCAAGAACACAATTGAAGGGGGAGATGAGTGACGTAGACAATCCTTAAAATGGTTCTGCTTAAAAATTTCAACTTTAGTTGAAATAGCACAAAAGCAATAACCATTCAGTGAGACTTTAAGTGCTCTGAACCTCTCCTGGGCTATGAATATGGCACAATATTTCTTTCAGTGAAGAGCAGCAGCGGCAAGCTACAGTTCCATCAGCAAAGTAGTCAACAACTACTATTCCACAGTATACCGTGTTGCTAAGCAACATGTTTGGTTAAGTTAGATGTATTAAGTGCATTTTAACTAAGTTATTTCAATTTGCAATCACTTACTGAGGTAGAGTGCCATATTTAAGTTGAGGAACTTATATACTAAAATTGTTGGAGATTTCAAAACTGTATTTTCAATAATGGACAGAAAAATCAGTCAAGTGCAAAACAAATACAGGACTGAGGCAATTGAATAAAAAGATTAGATGTGCAGATAGTTTCAGAATTCCTCAAACAATAGAATATCCAGTATTCTTAAACACACACAGCAGGGACTCCACGCAGCATGTAAAGTCCAAAATCAAGTCTCAATACATTTTTACAAATTTGGGTGTAGAGGTTGAAGAGATGGCTCAGTGGTTAAGAGCACTTGTAGGGGGCTCGAGTTTGCTGGGAAAGCACCCACATGGCAGCTAACAGCTATGTGTAACTCCAGTTCCAGGGGATTCAATACCCTCTTTTGGCCTCCATGGGCACTGTATGACATGGGTGCACTTATATACATGCAGGCAAAACGCTCATACACATAAAATAGAAGAAGTATTTTAAAAGTTTGAGTTTAAAGAAGATTATGCCAAGGCTGGAGAGATGGCTCAGTGGTTAAGAACACTGGCTGTTCTTGCAGAAGACCCGGGTTTGAATCCTAGCACCCACATGGCAGCTAACTGTCTGTTACCCCAGTTCCAGGGGATCCCACAGCCTCTTCTGTCCTCCGCGGGCGCACTTACCTACATGCAGGCAATAAACACATACACATAAAATAAAAATAACAAAATATTAAAAAAAGATTATGCCTTCTAATCACAATTCGTTAAAAGTAGAAATCAGTATCAGAAGGAAAGTCACACACATATGTAAACAAACTGTTCTTAAATAGCCAATACATCAGGAAAAAAAAAATCACAAGGGAAGCTATAAAAATTAAAATGAAAACCAAATATAACAATATTTGGAGTATATTGCAAGTATAGTGCTGAGAAAAATGGACAGACATATATTAAAAAACAAAAATACATGTCTAATCAATAGCCTCACATATATCTTAAAAAACCAGGGGAGGAAAATGAGGATGGTAAAACAGATTGTAGAAAAAAAAAAAAAACAACCACAAACAACAACTGTGTGCCAACACACTGGATAAGAGGAA